CTTTCTTGGTTTTTGTTTGTTCGTTTTTGTGAGACAGGGTCTCGCTTTGTTGCCCAGGCTGCAGTGCAGTGGTATGATCTCTGCTCACTGCAGCCTCAACCTCGTGGGCTCAAGTGATCCTCTCACCTCAGCCTCCTGAGGTAGCTAGGACCACAAGCATGTGCCACTATGCCCAGCTAATTAAAAAAAAAAAATTTTTAAAGACAGTCTCATCATGTTGCCCAGGTTGGTCTTGAACTCCTGGCCTCAAGCTGATCCTTCTGCTTCGGCCCCTCACAGTGTTGGGATTACAGGCATGAGCCACCATTCTTGGCCATAGAAGGGTTTCCTTGCCCACCTCAGTGTTTCCAGATGCCCTGCAGGACCTGACTCAGCCTGAACTCCCTCCCAGGGTTCTGCAGGGGCTGCCAGGCACAGAGAGATCTCCCACCACACACAGCAGGGGGAGTGGGGGCATGGGGCTGGGGTAGGGGATGGGAACAGCGGCCCAAGCTGAGTCCAGAACTCCCCAAAGGCGAAAAGCGGCTCCACTGGGCACCCACAGGGATTCTGAGCAAGCTTCCTCCATGAAGGGGCTCTTCCTGCAGGCTACTCCCTTGGCGGCCCAGGGCTCTGCTCTTCCAGACGCTTCAGGACATGTGCTTCTTCCTCAGAGCAGGGCTATGGCTGCCCAGACCCCTCAAGTCCAGCTTGCCGTGTGGCTGGCCAGCCTCTACCCAAGGGAGGCTCTTCCCTCCAACAGATAGATGCGCTCCCCGGGCACACAAGATCCAGTGAAGCCCTCCTGAGGGGTCGCCAGGACAGAAAGGTCTTCAGGCCCACACAGGCCCAGCAGCAGCACAGCATTTCGACCCACCCCCACACCATCACCAACCCCAGGCGCGTCTTAAGCAGCTGCAGCAGGAAATTGGGAATGAATTAGAACCATCAGATGGAGCCCGCACCCCCATCCCCAAATGCTTCTACTCTAGCTTCACACACATGCAGGCTCACCCAGGGGCATGAGTGCACCCCACTCATACATATGCATACACATGTACACATGCCAACAGACACATCCTATCCACACCAGACACACGCAGACACATGCTGGGGCGGGCACGCAAGCGCACACACATGCTGTCCTTTGATACTAACTTGGCTGGAGAGTTGGGTACCACCTGGGGAGGAAAAGGGCAAAGAAGACAGGGTGGTCAGAGGGAGGCTCCACCAGGGGGAGGAGTTTGAGCTTCAGGACCATTCTCAGCCTGGTCGTTGTGGAGGCAGAACCAGCCCAAACCGCACTGGGTGAGGAGAGCAGGGAGCGGGGAGGGAGAGCTGAGCTGGGAATCGCAGCATCCGGGACCCTCGGTTTTGTTTAGAGACCGACACTGCCGTGTTTTCCTCTCAGGGGGGCCCCCAGTGCCCTCTGCTTTGTCAGAAGTAGGGTTTTCTTGTCCATCTTTGTGAGCACTTGCACCATGTACATGAATCCCCCCATACAAGTCTGGCTATAGACCCCAGAGAGGAAGCTGGGCATGGAGACAGGAACAGCTGTGGCTGCTAAGGAAAAGACTGAGGCCCAGGGGCCTCCCTGCCCATCGGCAGCTCTGGACTCAGAGTCTGTTTTGTGGGGGCAGCTCTGGAGTTCTGTCCTGAGCAGGCATTGCAGTGGCGTGGATGGTGGGGTGTGCACGGGGTTACCTATTCCTCCACCAAGCCCTGACCTTCTCTTCCTCCCGGAAGAGACGCAGGCAGCTCTGGCTGCTTCTCTTTGGGTATAGGGGAGTGGGGTGCACAGTCCCCAGGGACCACTCCTAAAGGCCCTGTGGGCTAGCAACGAGGCAGGATGGAGGAGCGAGGAGGTGCAGGGAGAAGTGTCAACTCAAGGCTTGCTGAAGGAAAGCGACCAGCCGAGGCAGCCCAGCTTGGACAGCGCAGTGAGAGGCCCCTGCCTCTCACTCTGACCCGAGAGTGAGCCTCCCAGAGCATGGTCTCTGTAGGGAAAGCAGTGTCTGTCTTGTGTTTCTTTAAATGCAATTTTCCTGCAGTGGCAGACCCTGTGGCCAGCGGCCCTATCTGGGGCCTGTGAGGGAGACAGTGTGGAAGCTGGTGAGATCTTTCCCCAAACTCTGCCACCTGCTTGAATCTGCCCAGTATGGGCTCTGGCTGGAGGATCCTGGGCCGGAGCCTGGCCCTGGTCATTTGCAGCCAAACCCTGGGGAGCCAGGCTCAAGTCAGTGGTCCTTGGCCCCAGCAAGCAGCACCGTGGGCCCTGCTCTGCCCCAGGTCTGCCACTGCCTCAGAACTGATAAAATTCCCTCTGTCTTCCCAGGCTCAAAATAGCTGCAAGAGGAGCTATATTAGGAAAGGGCCAGCACGGAGCCCCAGTCCTTCTCCATTTTTGGCCGGTGCTGACAGCTGCAGGGTCAGCTCTTGCCCTGACCAGCCCAGTGCCCCCTGCAGAGGGCAGTGTTGGCCTGGCGAGGGTGGGGGCTGCCTCTGCCCTGCCTTGGCAGCCTACTCCTTCTTTGGCATTGATTCCTGCCTCCCATTTAGCTTCTCCCACCCAGGACCTGGGGCTGGGATGGCTGCAGCAGACACATCTGAGAGGTGCCAGTGCCTGGGTCTTGGGGTAGATGAACTAAAGATGCAAGACCTGCCTAGGGGCCTTTGCACTGCGTGGCCTGAGGGATACTGTCCTTCAGCACCAGCCCCAGAGCGGAGGAGAAGAAGGGGGCTGCAGGGATGCCCATGCCTGCCTGCCCTTGCACCATGTCTGTTTCTCTCTCCTCCTTCCAAGAGGATACGAGCTGCAAGGAATTGCACTGCAAGCTGCCCAGAGGAGACAGCAGCGGAAGGGGCTTCCTTTTGGAGCCAGACAGGACACAGTTCAAGTCGTGACCCTGCCTCTTCCTAGCACTGTGACTCTGGGCAAATTACCCACCTGTCTCAGCCTGTTTCCTAATTCTTTATATTGAGATGTAGTGTCTACCACACAGGTGGGTCGTGCAGACTGAACGGGTCCTGAGTCTAAGGTGCTCAGCACGGGAGAAGTATGCCGTGGACAAGCTCAGGGATTAGCGCTTGCTGACCCTGTTGCCTGTGAGCAAAGGTGTTGGCCTCAGCCCAGCAGGGGTTGCCCTAGGCTAGCCCAGGTCAGACGCTCTAGCCCTTCCTGCCGGCATGGCCTGGAACAGCAGTATCAGCTTTCACTTTGGATAATGCACCCACTGCACACCCTCCCTTAGCCCACCATCCCTTGGAGGAAACTGTCAAACTCGGCAGCTCTCAGCACTAAGTAATAATTTACACATTCTTCAGGGTCTGGGCAGCCCCTGTACCAGCGGCAGGGTACCTCAGGCACCATGGGAAGTACAGGTGGGCCTGGCTCCTCACTTCCCTGAGCAGGTAGACACGTCCCTGTCTCAATGCAAAGTGGAGTCAGGCAGACCTGCGTGCCAGTTCTGTCTACCATTTACTAGCTGTGTGACCTTGGGTAAATCACTTGCCTCTCTGAGCGTCTATTTTCCAGCTATAAGATGGGGGAAATCATGCCCACCTCTGGAGTTGCTGAGAGATAAGGCATGTGGACTGTTAGCTGGTCCACAGGCAGAGAGCAGGGTCGGAATGCGGAGACATTATCATCGTTGCAGGTGGGTCTCCTGGGAGTCCCAGGCCACCAGAGGCTGACCTCTCTGCCTGGGGCCAGTTCCTGGAAAGGACCAGGAAGACCTACCAGCCCAACAAAGGTGGGACAAGGAGGCCACCTCTGTTCTACTGTTCCCTGAGTTTTCTGGCAAAAGTCCTTTACTGGGAAACCCTGGGGGTGTATATAGGTCTGTCACCTTGGGTAAGGGAAGCAAGCTGTGTGGTGCCAGAGGTCAGCTTCACTGAGGATCCCAGAAAGAGCTGGGGAGCTGGAGAAGCTGAGGGCCACGGGGAGCAGTGGCCTGATGGGGCACAGGTGCTTTCGGCTGCAAGGGCAAAGGGAAGGGCATGGGCCTGGGCCAGGCTGACCAGGTTCCTACTGTGACTCTTCTGGGTGGCTCCAGGCCAGAACTTTGTTCAGGGGGTGAAAGAACAAAGCTCAGAGCTTTACAAGTGTTGGGTCCTTTATCCTCCCAGTAAACCTGAGACATGGACAGTGTGATTCTTCCATGATTCGGAAGAGGAACCCTGAACTGCTAGGCTCTACTGCTTCGACTCAACCTGCCCTGACCAGAGAGCACTATGCCAATTGCACAGGACGGGAAGAGAAGTCAGGGTGAGAGAATAAGTGTGAAGGGCTCGGCGCTAACACAGGCCCAATGTGGGGACTCCGTTCCCTTGGCCCCCTCCACAGTGCCCCAGCCCTGTGTCCTTTTAACTGTGTGCTCCCAGAGTCCCCCCAGACCTTGGGGGTGAGGCTGCTGTTCTCCTGCACAGCCCCTTTCTCTTTTGGGTCTGCTTCCTCGCAGCCCCACCCTGGCCAAGGTCAGTCCTGCAAACCTGCTCCCTGTATGCCACTGCCCAAGAGTCTCTCCATATACAGCTCAGGGGCTCCCTCCTCTAGGCAGCTTCCCAGACTATTCCTAGTCCCAGAGAACTTGCTTTTCCACCTCTGGAACTCTTTCCTGCTCCTGCCTCCATCCTCCCAGGGGGTGGGGACTCCATTAATGAAGGCAGCAGGCTGTGCTGTCTTGTTCTGGGGGGTAGCCTAATGAGAAAGTTTTGGAGTCTCCTGCATTCAGGACTGGCTTGGCCATGTGGTAGCTGGACAAATGGACTGTGACTTAACCTTCTCTGAGCCTCAGTTTCCTTCTCTGCAAAATCCGACATGTCACCCTAGGGTGGTTGTATAAAATGCTGGTGCGCCTGGCTCACGGCACACGCCGCAGGATCATCGCTGGCCTCATGGGCTTGGGGCTGGCTGGATTGGGGCCAGCGCCTCACTCTGACCACCTGACCAGGCGTCTGCTGAACACCGAGGACCCAGGTGGCCCAGGCCACGCACGGAGAGCTGCATGCCCATTACCTACCCTCCTGGGAGTCCGGCACCTGAGGCCTTCCCTCGGAGGCTCATCTTGTACATCTGAGCCATCTCCCTCAGGGTCTCTGCCGAGTACAGGCCAATGGGGTTGTTATACTGCCTTGGCTGGCTCGAGCCCGGCAGGGCTTTCGGGCTGAGTGGGTCCCAGGCCCCCTCCGGGCTGGTCTTGGCCCTCGGGCTGGCCCTTGGAGGGCCAGGGTCAGAGGCCTCGGCGAGTGAGGAGAAGGCGGAGGGCCGGGAGAAGGCAGGGCTAAAGGTGGGCCTGAGCTCCGGGGTGCCGGGGGTGCCCGGGCTGGCCCTTGCCTCGGGGCTGGGGCTGGGTGCCGCCAGGCTGCCGTTCGTGTCCAGAGTGGGGTCCTGGCACAGGGCAGGCCATGCAGGGGAGAGAGAAGAGAGCGGTTAGAGGCCACATGCGTCCCAGCGCTCCTGTGTGGACCTGAAACAGATGCGTTAGTGCTAGCCCCACAGCCTGAAGCCCAGAGCACCTGGGTGCGGCACCTGGAAGGGAGCACGCTGGCGGAGGAGCGCACAGGCACATGGCTCCTGGCCCGTCCTGAGACTGGCATCCAGCTGGGCAGAGTGCCAAGCCCTGCACGGAAGCCAAGCCAAACTTGCCGTCCCCCATGGCCCAAGGAAGTGGGTACAGGGCTCAGGGGATAGCCCGTTATGTGTCTGTTCCCCCTGCCCTTGAGAGTGGCACCCAGTGGGCACAGCCCAGCCTCCTGCTCCACTGACCCCACACAGCCAGTGAGATGGGATCCCTGGGCTGGCTGTGGGCAGGTGGCGGGGAGGAGAAGAGGGAAGCTGAGGAAGTGGGTAGCTGACATTTGGGGTCCTCAGTTCACCTCTGCACCTTCCAAGCAGCCCTCCACCCACTCTCCCAGTCTGTGAACTACCCCACCCTAGTTAGCCTCTTTTTTCTCCCAGCCCCCCCGCCCAATCTGCCCCACTGGACAGGTGGGTTCACTGTGAGCCCGTGCAGCGGGAGAAGTTGTGCAGGGAACCCTGGGGGTTGAGCTGCTTAGCAAGGCCTGGGAAAGCCCCAGGCAGTGGTGAGGTCTGGAGCCAGGGCTTGGCCTCCCTTCTCCCCCGTGCCTGCCTCAAAGGCCATCGCCAGCGTGTCCTAAGGGCTACAGGGGCATGCACTTGGGAGGGGCAGGTGGGGAAGTGGAAACCAGAGGGAGAGATCTGGGTGGGGGAAAAGCCTGAGGCTGGCAGGCCCTTCCACGCCGGGAGCTCCTTCTCAAGCTGGCCTTGGCCATAGTCACCTAGCCCCAACCCCTTCGGCAGATGAGGGTCAGAGCCTGGATGCTCATCCCCTGTTTGGCCGGGAGGGGTACCCTTCCCCTGAGAATATTGCTGTCCAAGCTGGTTTCCTATCAGCCCAGCCACGAGGCATGGCAAGGGTGGCTTGCACCCAGGCCAGCATTCCCACATCCAGTAGTCAAGAGTGGCTTGAAAGCCTCTCCCAAGGGCCTGCCTCACTTTCCCAGGGTCAGCCGCAGCAGGGGCAGGGATCGGCCCAACTGGGCCAGCCAAAGACCAGGCAGGCTGATCAGGGCCAGCACTCCAGGAACCACAGCTGAGTGGGCCCCGCCGCCACAGTCAGCACCTACCTTCTGGTGGGGAATCACCGGCAGAGGGGACTGGACTGGGGGTGCTGTCGTGGAGATGGGAATGGGACGCTTCGATCTGCAGAAACCAGAAATGAGATCAAGTGAGGAAGTTGCTTCTGGAGCCAGGAGCTCCTGCCTGGGCAGCGCTGGTGAGGGGAGAGCGAGAGAGAGCTAGGCAGCTGAGCCAGAGGGGCCCACATCCACTGTCCACCCCATGTGGATCTCCCCAAGAAGGCCCTGGGCCTGACAAGGATGGAGAAGTCATGGCCCTCGCGCACTTTGGTCAGCATCCATGGGCCCCTGCTATGTCACTGGGAGCTGCCTGGGCAAAGTGGAAGCAGGGAAGATCTGGCTTCCAGACCCGATGGCCCATATATGGGCAGCTCCAGGACCACCCTCTCAGCCTCATCTGTAAAGTGAGGCAGTAATGTCAGCCTCTAGGTGTTTGACAATGACCTGAGCCTGGTCCTTCCTCTGGCACAGGGCTGTCCTTACCTTCCTGCACAGTTCTGTAGCCCAGGTCTGGGCCCACTCAATTGCTATGGGACAATCCCTCTTTTGGCCCCCGCCCCAGGCCCACACCCAAGCCTCCGCCCCCTGCTCTGGAGAGCTCCCACCTACTTCTGCAGGGTGAGGCTCAGGTTGTAGCTGGCAGACTTGATCTTGTTCTGGGCCTCCAGGTGGGTCATGGTGTCAGTGTTGACGCCGTCAATGGCCACCACGAGGTCGCCCTGGCTGAGCTGGGACTGGGCTGCCTTGCTGCCTGGTGTGATCTGATTGGACAGCAGAGGTGGGGGGTGAGCATAAGGAAGGTGGTCCTGAGGACAGGCCAGTCCTTAGGGAAGAGTCACTGGGAGCATTTAGCAGACGCCATCATTTTGTCTTTCATTCGTTACGGCCAGTACCAGCTGCTTACCAAGCCTAGTTCCTCTTCCCAGCATGTGGCTACCACATTTCCTAGAGCTCTGTGTCTGACTGAGGCCATAGGACTAGCTCTGGCCGATGGAATGAGGGTGAAAGCAAGGTACGCCCCTTCCAGGTCTGCCCTTAGCAACCTTCCTTGTGATCCTGCACACTCTCTGCTTGACGGACTGAAAGCAGAGAATGGAGAGGAGGAGAGGTGTTTAAGGAGCACTGTATTGGATGTTGGATTAATGAGAAACTTTTGTTGTGCTGAGCTATTAAGGTTTGGAGGCTGCCGGACATGGTGGCTCATGCCTGTAATCCCAGCACTTTGGGAGGCTGAGGTGGGAGAATTGCTTGAGGCCAGGAGTTTGAGGCTAGCCCAGGCAACATAGCCCAGACCCTGTTTCTACAAAATTAAAACTATTTAGCAGGATATGGTGGTGCATGATTGTAGTTCTAACTACTAAGGAGGCAGGTGAGAGGGTCACTCTAGCCTAGGAGTTTGAGGTTACAATGAGCTATGATTGTGCACCACTGAATTCCAGCATGGGTGACAAAGGAAGACCCTGTCTCATAAAAATATTTTGCAGGCGGCCGGGTGTGGTGGTTCATGCCTGTAATCCCAGCACCTCGGGAGTCTGAGGCAGGTGAATCACCTGAGGTCAGGAATGTGAGATCAGCCTCGAACATGGTGAAAACCAATGTGGTCAACATGGTGAAACCCCGTCTGTACCAAAAATACAAAAAAATTAACTGGACATGGTGGCGTATGCATATAGTCCCAGCTACTTGTGAGGCTGAGGCAGGAAAATAACTTGAACCCCTGATTGAACCCAGCAGGTGAAGGTTGCAGTGAGCTGAGATTGTGCCACTGCACTCCAGCCTGGGTGACACAGCGAGACTCTGTATCAAAAAAAAAAAAAAAAAAAATTGCTGGCTATTTGTAACCTTGGTTAGCTTCTTATAACCCCTGCAGCTTGCAAAGCTATGGAGCACTTTTCAGACTGCAGGAGAAAAGAGAGATGCAGGAGCTAAGACACAGCAGCATCCGAGAGATACTGCCAGGCACCCACTCAAAAGCATCTTAGTCCCAGGTGCTTTGTGCTACCTGACAGATGTGGAGAGGGTGAGGTAGCCAGCAACCCTGCCTGGGCGAGCAAAGTTGGCTGGGAAATAGCGCAGGGCTTAGGGTTCTGTAATTGGTGTCATACCGCTAGAAGGCGGGGTGCAGGTGTGGGGGCCAGTTCCCAAATCCTGCGCCCCAATAACATCACAGAATGTTACAGTCTGGAGGCCCCATCTTCAATGTAACCACACAGAATGCCACTGCAACTCCACCCTGGGAATTCCCCATGGGATCTCAGGAAGGCCACACCTCCTGGAACACTACTTGGGATGTCATCATGGCTCAGACTGCACTCTCGGTGACATCATGCACGATGCCAAATTCTGCACACCAAGCCTCCAGTAACAGCACGCTGAATACTGTGGCGGCCCCACCCACAGTGATATCACACGAGACGCAGAATTCCAGAGGGTCTAATGATGTCATCTAAAATGGCTTGATGGCTGGTCCCTAGTGACATTAGTAGCCCCACCCCCAAAGATACCTCATGGAATGCCAGAGACTCTGGCGGTACCCCTATGACATCACATGGAATGCGCTGGCCCCTGCTAATCTCACATAGAATGGCTTTATGACCTGACTCCCACCATACCATGTTGGAGGTCCCCGACCCCCATGACATCATGAGGAGTGCCATGCAGGCCTGGCCTTCAGTGACATCACAGGAAAGAGGAGGCTCTGGACCCCACCCCCAGCAAGCTGTGGCTGGAGGTATTCCTTGGCTTCGCCTCCCAAACATGCCCACCAGCCAGTTCTCTGGGCTTCTCTGAGTACATCCCAGTCACCTTTCTGGCTACAACCCAAGGACTAAGCCAGTTCCTAGCACTGGCAGAAGCTAGATTCAGGCCAAGTTCTGAGAACCATCCTAGATGGTGCCCAGAGAGGCTCTGGGGACAGTCCCTTGCCCCAGGTGCCAAGTCTGGCTGTGGCTCTGGCCAGGCCCTGGGCTTATAGACATGGATGGAAGTTCCTGCCAGGTCCCTCACAGGGAAGCCCCTTCCAAACCAGGATGCCCTGCAATCACCAGTCACCAGTGCCCAGCCCACTCCCAGATGGGCTCTGCAGATGCAGCCCAGGAACTGAATTGTCTCTGCATGGCCACGTTACCGGTCACAGAAACACTGCCCTACACTACGTGGGTGATAACAGCAAGACCAGGAGAGCCCTCTCCAAATGCTGTTAATCTGCCATTTCAGCCTTAGGGGCTATGGTGCCCCCCCCCCCCCCCTTTTTTTTGAGCCATGGTCTCACTCTGTCACCCAGGCTGGAGTGCAATGGCGTGATCTCGGCTCACTGCAAATTCCGCCTCCTGGGTTCAAGTGATTCTCCTGCCTCAGTCTCTCGAGTAGCTAGGACCACAAGCGCACACCACCATGCCTGGCTAATTTTTGTATTTTTAGTAGTAATGGGGGTTTTACCATGTTGGCCAGGCTGGTCTTGAACTCCTGACCTCAAGTGATCCACCTGCCTCAGCCTCCCAAAGTGCTGGGATTACAGACATGAGCCAGCATACCCAGCTTGAGGTGCCCTCTTAAAATACTGGCCACCTTGTGCTCAGAGCACTTCTCCCCAAGCCTGGAATCTGCAGAGACAGGAAAGGACAACACAGAGACAAATGCCTGGGCTGCCAGGAAGCCACAGTGTCTGCTTTGTGAAGTCCAGCCTGTCCTCCAGGCTCTGCTGGGGCGTCTTAGAGCAACTTGAGATTTCTTAAAATACACATAGCCCTTACTCCCAAACTCATTGCCATAGCCTCTGTGAATGACAGGAGTGTGTTGCTGCCTTGAGTGTAAAGGTGAACAAAGGGTAAAAACCAACATCAGAGAAGGAGAACAAAACAGTTTTCTAGACAGAGGGGACTCCTGGGGGCAAGTTGAGCTGCACAGCCAGGCCTGTCCTGCAGAAAATCATCTTTCCCTACTACTCTATGCGATCCCCAACATTTTATTATAGACATTTTTACAAATTTCTAGGCAGAAAAAGTAGAAAACATTCTAAAGTGCACACCTGAACAGCTACCGCCATGGCTCTACCATAACATTTCACTCACTTTGCTTTATCGCACTTCCTCCCTGCACATCCATCAATCCATCTCATTTCCTGGGCATTTCAAAGAAAGCTGCAGGCACCAGAGTACTTCTTTTCGGGGAGAATTTTGCAATGCCTGTTCCGTCCTAGTAAACTGCCCGTGGGGCTCCCCCACAGCAGGACACCCCCACAGCAAGGCTCTCTCATGGCAGGGCACCCCCAAATGCTTCTAACCACTTACAGAGAAGGGGTCATCCCCCTTCAGAGCTGGGCTGCTGCAGACCCCACGCAGAAGGGCGGGGGCCTCAGTCACAGAGGAGACACTACCAGAAAGGATGGGAGTTGTGTCCAGAAGATCATGATGACAGTGTGAGCAGCGGCACCAGAACGACATACAAAAGAGTCCGGGGACAGCCAGATCAGCAGGGCCCTCTACAGGGCCATCTCAATGTTCTCCCTCTGGAGCCACCTCAGAGACTTCTTTCTCCCATAGGCGTGGGCCAGCTGGCACCAGTACTCCTTCCAGGTATCCACACTTCCTTTCACCTGGACCTGCCTGGCTCCCCGTCATCTTCAGGTATGGGCTGGGCGGTGGCGGGGGGATACTTGGTCCCAAGGGAGAGCTCAGCATACTGGGGTCTGGTCAGTAGCCAAGCCTCTGACCAGGGGGGAGTGGCCAAGCTGGATCCCCTGCCTGGCACCTCTCCCCTGCAGTTGTGTCTGCTTGTCAGGACTCAGCTGGCCTGGGCTTTGGCTGCCCTGAGCAGGGCCCAACATCCCTCAGGGTTGGGGTTGAGGTGCTGATATCCTTCTCTAGGGAGGTGCGCCAGGCAGGATGGAGGCAGGAATCCTACAGATGACCAGGAGCCATCCATGCTTTCACCCCATTTCAGGAGCAGTCTGCCTGGGTGGGTCGAAAGGGGGCACCCTCAGACCCTTGCCCAGAGCCCAGGGCTCATGGAGAGTGCCGTTTAGGCATGACGCTTCTGCATCTCTCTTGTCTGACTCCATCCTCCTCTTTCCTTTCTGTGTTTCAGAAAGGGCCCAAATAACCCAAAGTCTTAGAGCTGTAATTTTCTTTTTCTTTTTAATCTTTCTATTTCCCTTTGGGCATTTAAATATCTCCCTTGAATGAGCGTTTCATTCCCACTTCACATTTTCGTCTTCTCCAGCCAATGGGCCCCTCTAAACCCTGGAAACTCAACCCTGGGCAGAGCCTAGAATGGTCTCAGGGTGGGGCACCCAGCTCCTGTCTCCAAAGCTCCCGAGACAGGCTGCAGGTGTTTGGAGGCCAAGATCAGCCCCCCACCCCTAGGAGCCGTTCTGCCTTGCTGAGCCAAGGTCTTAGGGTACCCCCAAGGGCAGCTCAGGGATAATTGGTGCCAGAGCCACCTGTGCATACTGGGGGCCAGGGGTGGGGAGGCAGCAAAGGAGGAGCACAGGTGCCAGTATGAGCCAGCTCCCAGCTCCAGTGCCAGCTTCCAAGCCCTCCATTGTCAAGAGAGTGACAATGCCTTTCTTGGTATTGTTGTGAGGATTAAGTCGTTAAACAGGGGATTATGTAAGGAGAGTGGAGAGCTGAGAGAGTTTCAGGAAAACTCCAAATCCAGAAGGCACAGTGCTGACCCCATCCGCTACCCCCAGAAGGTGCGAGGCTGGCAGGCTGCATCCCTGGGCTTCACAGGAAATAAGATACACAGCTGGCAGAGGGTG